CTATAATAGTCAGAACTTATAATTAGGTTAGTTAGGTTTTCTAGATATACAGAGATGTATTTGAGATGGTTAGGTATTCTTCAAACCTTTCAAAGACCTACAGAAATATGGCATTTAAATAGTTTAGGGTTTTTCTTCGCTGTGAGACACAACTGCTCCTGGCACACCAATTATGTCAGAAAGGAGGATGGGCATCGAAGAAACTCGTTATGGAGTTTGCTTTCAACATGGCAAGACTAGCCATTTGGACAAGAAACTGCTCTTGCCTGGACTGTTTGTTGCTGTATAAACTGGACATGCAGGACCCACAAGAAAATGACTGCTAAACTTACAAAACTGAAGGGTTCCTGTTAAATGGAGGAGTGTGCTAGACACACTGTGGCCTATAGGCTGAAGATGGATGCCCCAACATTACAGAGGAACTTTGGGTGACTGTCCAGGTAGCAAGATGTCCTGTCAATTCTAGAGTTTATATATTTTCCTTCTGTGGTCTTTGATAGAGTTGAAGACAGATAGTTATGGTTATAGTTTTCTTCAATTATTATAAAAAATAAGTCACCCTTCTTTTTCTTTAGACAGAAAAGAGGAGATGATGGGGGAAATACTTCTGTGTCTGTTTATAAAGTACTTGCTTGGCCAATGAGACAGCAGGTTAGGCTGGACTAGGAGTCAAAGAGGATTCTGGGAAATGTAGTAGAGAAGTGGTGTTCCAGACAGGAAGTGACATAGCAAGGAGACTCATATTTAAAAAGAGGAAAAAGGAAGTGTCGCTCTCTTTTTCCCCTCAGCTCCTGCTCCAGCGGCACAATGTGATTCACCAGCAAGGAGGGACGCCAATAAGGCGTCCGATAAGATAAGTCTTATAAAATATATAGACATATGATAATTGAGACTGAGCTAACAGATGAGAATCCTGGTCATTGGCCAAGCAGCATTGTAACTAATACAAGTCTCTCTCTGTGTATTTATTTGGGCCTAACTCAGGCAGGTGGCTGGCGTAAAGCACACACATGGCGGTGGGGCTCAGGCAGCTTTTGGCAAAAAGATTTATTGTAACAGGTTTGCAAGTGTGTGCAGACACTGACAAAGTCAGTGTGGAGAAGACTCAAAACTATAAGAAAAATACCATATAATCTGGGAATACCACTCCCTGTTATGTACCCAAAGGACTCAACACCCTACTGCACAGATGCTTGCTCATCCATGGTCATGGTTGTTCTATTCACAATTGCTATGAAAAGTAAACAACCAAATGCCCTACAACTGACAAATAAATTGAAGGTGGGAATTAAATGAGTCCACCAGATCCAAGATAAATGACAAATAGTTGTCTCTTAGGGAAGCACATCCATAGATAAGAGTAAATAACCACCTAGGTCTTCCTGCTCCAGAAAATGCCATCTCTGCCCTTCTGATGCTCTCTGCAACTCAAGAGAGCACAAGCCAGTCCCTTCTCTACCTTATAATGGGTCATGTTGGCACCTAAAACCACTCCCAAATGGTGTAGCCACCACTACAAGGTCGGTGGCAAGGCAAGATGCCACTACATTAGATAAGAAAAATGTAATAAATATACTCTATGGAATGTTTTTCATCTGTAAAGAAAAATGAAATCATGAACTTTGCAGGTAAATGAATGGAACTAGAAAGATCACATTGACTGAGGTAATACAGACATAAAAAGAAAAATATACATTCTCTCTTTCTGGAGCCTCCTATATAAAATCTTCCCATTTGAATACATATTCTAAAAACAAAAATGGAACTAATGCCAGGGTTTGAGGTGGTGGTTGGGGAGCAACAGAGAAGATAATGGCAGGGAAAATTTGATCAAATAGGAGAAATGGAAAAGAGCAGCTCCTTTGGAAGGGAGAGGAGCAAGGGAAAATAATAGAATATGCGTGATCTGATAGGAGATGTGGAATACATGAAGCTTCTTAGAGGAGGGGAGCAAGGTAAATACAGGAGAAGGATGAAAGTTGGTAAAAACAAGAAGGATGTTTGGAAAAGACAAAAATATTATACTATTAGTTATTCTCCTAAAATTACTATAATAAGTATGAAATACTATGTAAGCCACTGTAAAAATATACATATAGTTTTATATTTTTATCCTCTACATAGACAGTGGTCTTCTAAGAACCAAAGGCCACCTAATTTAAACCATAAAATCAGACATGAGAAGCTCTCTTTGAGTTGTGGGCCAGAGCTGTCAAGTATCTCCTAAATGATAGACACTATTGATGTTGCCCTTTGTTACCTACCAGAGTGATAAGTCTCTATGAATGAAGACACCACTCACTTCAGAAACATATCTATGACCTGGACTGACCTGAACCTTCCCTTTAAATTCTAACTTACATGCTACCAGAAGGTGTCATTCAAGCTTCAAAGGAAGGAGACAACCAACATTTCTACCCAGTTATACTGCCTATGAACCAGAACAGTGGCCAGCATGGTATGGAAACCCAAAGGATGCAGTATTGATACACATATCACGGTTTTAACCAGCAGTGGCCTAACTGGAATATAGACCCACTCATTAAGAATACCATACCATACTTACCTATCTAAGTACTCAGTGCTAGTGAAATCATGGTTATTAGAGGAGAGCTACAATTATTGACTTATTTAAACAGCATTTTCTATAGCACCAATCTATAAACATGTCTTTATACTCACAGAAAAGCATAGTTTCAACACTCATAAATGAAACTTCTCTTTGAAGAAGACCACTACAGAAAACATCAATCAATCAAACCACGCAGTTGTAGAGTACCGCCCAAATTAATAAACATACAAAACACTACTGCATTTCAGAGAACATTATGTACAAGGAGGTTGGAAGATTGTATAGGCCAGAGAATCAGGGACTTTGCTGTGAATGGGGTCTCCTACAAATATCAGAAGCAATTCTGCTAAGTCTCACTAACATTATTGGGAAAATCCCAAGACCTCAAAACCAAAAATAGAACTAAATCAACCAAAGAAGATAGAGGGTGGGAAAATAGTCTTTCACATGGAAGAAAAAATTAATTGTTTGTTCTATATAAAAGGTTCAATCCTGAAAATAGGCATGCAAGTAATATTGTATAGACTGGGCAGTTTGTATATATATACACAGCAAAATATATGTAGATACATGTATGTATGTAATGATAAGAGAAGAGAACATGGTTTGAAACATAGTAAGGCAGGGTATGTGGGATGGTTTGGAAGAGGAAAGGAAAAGGTAAAATGGTGCAAATAAAATCTCAAGCAATAGTGGGGAAGCTACCTTAAATGCCCTTTCCCTCTAATGAGACTGATGACTACCTTAAATGCCATCATAGAGTCTTCATCCAGTAGTTAATGGAAGCATAAGCAGAGATTCAAAGCTAAGCACTGAGCTGAATTCCTGGAAACCAGTTGTAGAGAGGGAGGAGTGATGAGCAAAGGGGTCAATACTATGCTGGGGAAACCCACAGAAACAGCTGACCTGAACAAGTAGAAGTTCAAGGACCCCAATCTGAGAACTGGGGAACCAGCATGGGACTGAACCAGAGCCCCCTGAAAGTGGGTGTCAGTTGGAAAGCCTGGGCAGTCTATGTGGCCTCTGGCAGTGGAACCAGTATTTATCCCTAGTGAACAAATGGGCTTTGGGAGCTCATTCCCTATGGAGGAATACTCTCTCAGCCTAGATACACGGGGGAGGGCCTAGGACATGCCCAAGTGATATGTCAGACTTTGATGATCCCTGATGGGAGGCAACACCCTCCCTGGGGAGTGAATGGGGGTGGCATGGGAGGATGGGAGGGAGAGGAAACTGGGATTGGTATGTAAAATGAGATTGTTTTTAATTTAAATAAAATTTTATTTTAAAAAAGAAATATGTTTATTAAAAACACAAGATTAAAGAAAAGATATCTGATCTCTATTTACTGGAAAACTAAATAGAAATTGAAACAATTCTAGATATAGCTCATAGCTATATCTAGAATATAGCTATGAGCTATATATAGCTCTAGATATAGCTCATTTCTATGGATCATAGAAATTAAACAAAGAAAGGATCCAAATTTAAATAGGCCTTTCAGGCTTAAGGAGATTAAACAGCACCAATGATTTTTAAAACTCTAAAATCCTTGGATGCAGATGAATCCACACCAGAATTCTAAAAGACTTTAGAAGAAGAACTACAACCAATATTTCTTAATTTATCAGAAAAAATAGAAATGGAATGAGCAATTGAAACCTACATCTATGAAACCAGATTTACTCTACTGTGGGAACCTTGAGTAGACTCAACAAACAAAAATTTAGTAGTATGGTACATAGTAGCAGTTTTTCCTCTAGGGCCTATGAGGTGTCCAGCCATGGGTTCTTGGATAGGTGTATGGAGCAATGAATGAGTTCCCTGAAGTTAAGTTGATTTTAGGTCCAGTTCGGTAAGCCACTGGCTGTCCCCAGGGTGAATGTGTCTCTTTGGCACTGTAAGGAGTGGCTTGCTATTTCTTTTTTGCCTTTTTCAACATTTTCATTTGTGTAGGGCAATTGACATCATGTTCCCCTTGCATAGTCATTCCAAATTTATGAGGGCTGTCCCACATGGAGGTATCTTCCAGATAAATGACAGTTTGATGACCAAAAGATGTGTTGCCTTCATCAATAGGATCATACCCTGATATCCTAGCAGGTAACAAAAAAAATACTGGCATTAGCTTCTTTTGCTTTGGATGAGTCTTGAAATACACTAACAACTGAAGGGGATATTTTTCATAGATGCCAATGGGTGGTTTTAGCTAATGAACAAGTCCAGAGGGTGCATTATCCAACTCTGTGAGGACCTGCACTAAACACTAGAAGTTTTATTTTTAAGCAAGCATACAAGATATTAGGTTTTGCTTGTTTCTGAAACATGCTTATGCCCCCTTCTATCTCCCTATGCATCTCTCTCCCTCTTCTTTCCCTGTACTTATGCACGCCTCCTTTCCCTTCCCTATATCTCTGTACTACTCACTTCCTCTTCCCTACTCAAGACCTCTTACTTTTATTTTTCTCTTCACAGCCCCTGTGTCCTGCTCTTTCCCTCTCTGAAGCTATATCTACTCACCCAAGATGCTGCCTTTCTACTCTGCTGGCTTCTAGGGTTACTTAGGTTTATACATACAAACCAAGAGGACATGGTTCTAATAATAAGAGGAAGCAAATCATTTGTCTTTCTGGACCTGGGTGACTTCACTAAATATAACATTTTCCACTTCCATCAATTTGTTTGCAGTTTGCATTTTTGTTTTCAGATAAAAATAATTGTATACTTTTACGACATTTTAATCATCCATTAACCATTTCTTGGGCATTGTGAATAGAATGGTAAGGACCACGGGTGAACAAGTACATCTTTAGTGGGATACCAACCCTTTTCAACATATACACAGGAGAGATTTGACTCAATTATATAATATATCTCATTTAAGATTTTTGAGACATATGCGTATGGATATCGAGAGGGACTGTAACACTTTGCAAGCCTGACAACAGTGGATAAAGATTTCTCTTCTTATTCAAGTTTACCAGCATTTGTTGTCATCTACAGTGTGGGTTTTCCTTTGTACTTTCATTATTCTGTCTTCATTATTATTGAAAATTTGGAATAAGTTTCTGTATTAACTTTTTCATTACCTTTAATTCCTATAGTGACTGAATATTGCAAGGTAACAAAAAACAGAACTGATACATTTATCACAAGCTACAATTTATGCCTACTTCCCCATCTGCCTGTGTCACTGTGATAAGCACTACTTTCCCAGATGGAACAGTAATACACGGCCTCATCCTCCACCTGTAGCTCAGAGATCTGCAAATTTGCCGCATTTTTGGAGGTATCTTTGGATCCAGAGACTCTGTTGGGGACTCCAGGCCCCAGCTGCTTGTCTGAATCTGAGTAGTAGGAGAGGAATAACCTGGGAGCACTCCCGTCCATCTGCTGGTACCAGTTAATTCTTCTACCACCAACACTGATGCCACTCCTCAGGGTGCAGGTGAGTCTGGCTGTTGATCCAAGAGGCTCAGAGACGGAGGGTGGTTGTGTCAATACAGACTGAGAAAGGGAACCTGGAAAAGAAGGCGCCACAGTGAAAATCAGACCCGAGGTGCAAATTCTTATATAAATGAATCAGAAGTAAATGACTCAGTGTAGGAGTCCTCTGCATCCTGTCAGAGGACTTTTCATCCTGTCCCTACCTGTCAGGTAAGATAGAACCATGAAGATGAGAGTAGTCCAAGCCATTGTAGGCACGACACAGCTTCTTCTTAGATAGAGTCTTCTGTTTGGGCTGTTGTATTATCTCATTGCCAGAGATCTCACAGAAAAAGAGGGGATAGTTATGCAAATGAGATCTCAGTAACTCCTCCCATTGGCTGATTCATATTTTGAGATGCTGAAACAACAAAACGGGTGCTGTGAATTATTATGTTTAGTGGAATGCAAAGCAGGTGGTAACACAAAGAGGCCTGTTTGCAAGGAACTCTTTCAGATTCACAGTAGCACAGTTGCTGATTTATCACAAAAAAAATGGAGGACTCATTCACCAGGACCCATGTCTTTTAGGGTTACCACATGTGGCACCTGTCCTGCAGAAACTGCAGAGAGAGACTCAGCACACTCCTTTCAGTGCTAGAGCAACCATCAACTTTCACAATTGTTCATTGTATCAGTTCTGCTGTCTTTTCTTCACCTTGTATTTCAGACAAAGGAATACTACAGGGAACATGGTGATGTTATCTAGTGGAGCCATCACTGGAACATTTCTCTGATGAGGGTGGACAGGCAGGGAGAGCATGCATGCAGCCAACCTACGAGAGCTTGTGAATCATCCAGGAGCTGAAGCAGGGAGAAGAAGTAACTGGGTGGATAGACATACCACTTTTATTGCTGTTGTTATTTAAAAAAAGAAATAGAGTTGTGCCTTTAGGAAGGGACATTTGTGGACTGAGAAATCAATTGCTCAGTAGTGATGGAGAGGACAGAAAGACAAGGTTTGTTTTATAGTGTTTGAAGAGACATTTGAGAATTTAGTATTTCTTAAAGGCTCAATCATAGATGACTCTAAGGGGTAGACAATGATGCTTGAGGGATGGACATCTGACTTTTTGCATCATTGTGATCTAAAGAAAAAGGAACTGATTTTCATGTTCAAGGTATAGGTAAATCAACAAAGTTAGCAGAGGGACAGAGGGCAGGCAGGATGGAGGACAGGGAAATGTTACTTATAATAATGGATCTAACAGATGATAGGTGAGGAGCTGTGGTAAAGTGTTGTAGGGATCTGTGATTAAGAGGCAGTTATAGCTAGGGTGGCAACAGAGCTCATAGGCCTGTCACTACCCCTGCAGTGAGAAAGAAGCAGTTCAAAAGAAAATAAGTGAACATAGACCACTGATCTCCACAAGGAGTCTAGTTGGTCCCAGGCCTCCATTCCCGCCTCTGCAGAGAACTGCCTGTTCCTCCAGGTATGTTTCCACTGAAGCTGCCAAGGCTCTTTGTGAGCTCTGCTGCAGGAGCTCTGCTCACATGACAGACTAAGGCAGAGATAGTTAGTCTTTCAATAGTGGGAGAGTCCTGGGAGAAATCACTAGCCAAGACCAAGCCCCTTTCTCCATGAACTCTGCCAGGACAGAAGACACCACCGCGGAGTCTCCTTGGTAAGCACAGGATGAGCTCTATGTCCAGCTTCTTTGAGTAATAGGAAGTAGTGTCCTACCACAGTCCCAGAGCGCCCCCTGTTAGGCAAAGAACACTTAGTTACCATAGTCCAGAGACCTCAGAATCCAACTGGAGTCTACTACTCACCAAATCACTGTGTGAACAAACATATCCAGACTCTGATGTCTAAATTTGAAATGCATCCCTTTTATCTGCTTGTCACAGATAAAAAGGTTGTCATATCCAGAAAAAACAACCATTGAGATCGTTATGAAAACATCCAGAAATATTAAAGTGTTAACTCATCCACAGAAGAATGGCAACTATCAGATTACTTCACTGGTATGTGATTTAAATTGAAGATATATGTTTTGGCTACACAAACACCTAAACACTTACAAATACTATTTAGCTCTAAAGAAAATGAAGTTTGTAACATGCAGGAAAAAGTATGTACTTAGAACATACAATGTTAGGACAAGTTGACCAATGTCATATGTAGAATCTAGCCAATAATATATGTATTTACATAAAGCAACATACATGTGGTTGTGATATAACATGAAGATAGAAAATAAGAAAGGATAACTTAGGGCGATGTGGGAGGTCTGAATGCAGGTAGTGGTTGAATATTGAAAAAGTACATAAGGTAAATGTTTTTCTAGTTCTAATTCTGCTGGGGAAACTTTGGTTTGGGGGGTGAATAACTACAAAAAATGTATTTGGTACAAAAATGTAAAATATAATGTGAAACTTCACAGCTCATCTTCAAAATGCCTACTCTAACTCTATAAACTTTTGTTGAGTTTGTAGCATATCAAATGAAGACAGTAAGCTGCTTTTTACCCACAAGTGAGTCATTTGTGTGAAGCAGGTATGGAGAGCTGGAATCTACCTAGCCTTGCCTTTTGTTATTTAGGTTGTTGCCACCCAAATGTGGTGCTTTTGTGTCATCTAGCTTCTATATATAGTCTTATATATGTAGTTTCTCTAACAACCAACGAGTGTGGTATGTGCACCAAGGGAAGTTATCTCCCTCTGGCCTTCTGATATCCCAGAACTAGAGAGTGAGTGCATCTTTCCTAGGCAGACAACAGCCACTTCCATTTTCTGGGCTTGTAGCAGCACTGCAGCTGTGCCTCTTCATTCCTCTGTATACCGGGAGCAAACTCCCTCTTTCTCTATGGAGAGCCTGGATGAGTAATTGACCCCCACCTCTGACAGGTTTCTCACTGCATAGAGCCCTTCACAGAGGTGACTCAAAATAATCCCTCTCTACCTCCTCACACGAAAGCCAAAATTCTGCAGACCATCTCTTGGAATACATTTCCCACACATTTTATCAGACTGGGCAATGCAGGGAAGGCTTTCATTTCTGCAGTTCAGTCTCTCTGTAATGATTTTTACCACTGCCTGGAGGCACAGTGTGTCTTTCCTTTAGCTCCCTGTCTTTAAACTTAGATCCTGCTCTCTGCACCTGGAATCATTCCACGGTCATAGGCAAGTCCTCCACCCACTCAATTTTTAGTTTTAAAGTTTACCCTTCCTACCCTGTTCCCATCCTTTCCCGCTCCTGTCTTCTTCTTTCTTTTCTACACCTCTACTGTCTCTTCTATTGAAACTACAATACCTTCCACAGTTGCCCACCTCAGAAGAGGGCCCATTCTAAACCAAAAGTTTTATTCCTTGAAATAGTTCAGGAGTGTCATGTCATGAAACCAAGCCATGGTGATGATATCCACATTCTGCTTCCTGAGTGCAATGAACTGACTACAGCTAGGCATTCCTTTCCATCTGGCTCTGTGGTTCTCAGTGCACACTGGTTCTAAGAAAACACCCCTCTTCTTGGGAAGTATAGGTGCCTCCTTTTACTTTAGACTGGGTGTGACTGAGACGAGGAAAGGCTATGCATGGAAAGAATGTAGGCTCCACCAAGTGGCAGAGCCTGAAAGTGAAGCAAAAACACCAAGAAATCTGGGGCACATTAGGGAAGTCCTTGGCCATGTCAGTTCCCAAAGAACTATATTCTGTCTTCTGTAGTGTGACCACTAGGTCCCGTTCCTGCCAACAGAGAGACTATTGAAGAAGTCACATAGCCCTATCAGGAGTCTAAGTAGAACATGTATTGTTCCTTAATATAATTCTGTAAGTGTCAACTAAGGCAGTGGGCAACAGAGTTTACTTTTGAACAGAGCATCAAGGCTTGATTTGGGAGGCACAGTCTCCTTTTCCTCTCAAAGACCAGTGATTATACTGGTGGTCATTTCTAGGAAAGAATCCATTAGTGGACCGGAGTTAAGAGTGGGTTTCAGCAACTAAGTCAACATGATGTTCCTATAGAGGATGTGAGTTTGATTACCAGCAAACAGGACAGACAGCTCAAAACCTCTTCTAATCCCTGCTCTAGGGGATTCAATGCCCTTTCTGGCCTCCTCAGACACACAGACACGCTTGCAAGCACATGTGCTTACACACACACACACACACACAAACACACACACACACACACACACACACACACACACGTATTTTTAAATATAATTCTTAAAAGGAATCAAGTAAAAAGTGTAGCTTTAATATAACCGCCAAAAATGGAAGAGATATCTGTGGGAGTCAAAAATTCAGGAGAAAAGGAATATTCTTCCTATAAATGGCAAAAAATTCTACTGAAAGATTGGCCTACAATACTGTATAAAGTAATTAATATGAATTTCCTTTTGTTCCTAAATTGTAAATAGATTCTAAGTTTTTTTGCATTTAAAAAAATTACTTGTCATTTTTGGTTTAGAGTCCTAAGATATACATTTTATTAAATTGTAATATACATATTATATAAAATCCATATTAACTTCAAATTAATATGTTTTGTGCACACAAAATTTGCAAATTAAGTGTTAACGCTAATACTTAAATTAACACTCTATAATTGAGGTTTGTAACCAAAGAAACTTCTGTAAATGTGCACAAAATTTTGAAAAATAGGGAAACAGGGTCACATAGGAAATAACATTTATATTTGTTATAAATGGTGAAAATGTCATCAAATTTGATCATGAATAAACAAAATGATATAATTAGCAGTCAGGGTTTGGATTCTAGAAGCATCTCTCTGATATCCCTCCAGTTCATCTATGACACACACAAAGCACCATGGGACAGAAAAATAATCCCCCTTGCGAATGTCTGAGGGGGAACTGGGAAGAAATGATAAATGAGATTTTTGAGATTCTGCATATTGAAGAATAATTCATAGCAGCAGGAACCCACCACAACATCTAAGCAAGAAGGATTAGCTTTCTGGTAGCTCTTATAAGGTACTGGCAATTCAGCCAATGCTTTATCCTTGAAAGACCATGTTTATGGTAGACTTAAGTGGCATTCAGTATCATGGTATCCAGTAGCTATAAATTTTCTCCAATATTTTTTCAGACACATGGTACTACAAACTCAAATGTTTTGCCCTTATCTGGTACATCAGATTCATGGATCAGATAATCTGTTCACCCCAAAGGGTAGAGATATCATGCTAAATAATATAAAACTTATCCTTGTTTCCTCAAAGATTATAGTGAAATATTTTCAGGCTAATGTAGAGTATAGGTGGTAATACTTGGAGTAAACCTTTTCTTCTGTGCTCATTAATGAGGTATTCTTTTAATGTGTAACATGTTAGTGATCCTTTGGATTAGAATTACATAGTTTTCTTCCTTGAGGAGGAATATTATTAATGTTATTGCATATATGTGTTATATTAATTATACTTTGATACACACGCCATAGATATGACTGACACACTCACACATGGTCAATATATAGACTATCAACATATTATGTCTAAAGAAACTGGGAAAACATAGCTGGTGAAATCTTCATCTTGCATTCTAAGTGAATGCCTTGTTTAACAGTTAAAGATTTGTAGCACTTGGAGAACCTAGCAATAAGGAAAAAGATATCAAATTGTATATGCTGAATCTAGGTGATTGACATTGAAGACATTTAATTCTGCTTCTTTTTTCAATACTAAGTAGGTACTGTCACTGAAATTCTTTTGTTGTTTGACATATTTCTCCTGGACAAGGATACCAATGGGATAAATGAGGAAGTGTAAAGCTGAGTTATAAGTTCACCTCTCATGTGGCCAATGGGACTGAGGGTCAGGAAATACATCACAGGGTAGCTCTTGAGCAATACCCCTCAATGGCATCACTACCTGTGCAATTGTGTGGAAGGAAATAGTGATTTCTGAAAAACCTGTTCTTTCCAACAGCACTGTCCTCTCAAGATCAGCCCATCACTGTACACTAATGAGCATGAACATATTTATGACAAGTATATGGGGATGAAGTTCTCTCTTCCAGAGAAGAAACTGAAGTAAGGTTAAAGGAACATAGGTAGACAAGGAAAGTAAAAGTAGAAATTCCCAAGACTGTCACTACTTCTTTCTAGAAAGCTCTTCAAAACCCACAATCTCCGGCGTCCCAGAGACTAAGAGAGGATGGGATGCAAAAGGAACCAACTGATTTTGTGGTCAGTGGAGCACAAATCAGGGGTCAGTGCTCCCGAGGCCTGGAGAGATATGTGGTCACCTGGTACTGGGATTTTCGACTGGTCCAAAAACTTGAGACCACAGTCTCAATGCGAGTCTTAACTCACGGAAACATGGGCGGAGATAGAGAGGAAGGGGTGGGATTACCTGACATGGCGTGGTAGATGGAAGAATCCAGAGATCCTTAGTTGGAAAAGTGACCGAGTTGAGGGTTACAGGGTCCGAACATATCTCAGACTGCCACAGGCAGGAGCAAATGCTGGGAAAATCTGCCAAGTCACATGCAGGTTTGTTCTTTTGTTTAAGTTAGAAATGTGCGCTATGGCGCTATGGAGATGAAACATGAACCAAGAGATGGTTAAACATGGAGTTTATTAAAGGAGGAGAGCAGGAGGGGAAGACGAGAGAGATGAAGAGAGAGGAGGGGCTGAAGGGAGAGAGAGTGAGAGAAGCAATACTGCAAGCGGGCAAAGAGAGTAAGACGAGAGAGAGAGAGAGAGAGAGAGAGAGAGAGAGAGAGAGAGTGCAAAAGCAGAAAGAACAGTAAGAGAGTAAGTGAGTGGGGTCTCCATTGTTTGATTCTTTGTTATTTGTTGGAAACTGGGAATAAAATTTCTGAATGAACTTTTTCATTATCTCTTACTTTAATAGTGAACAAATATTACAAGGTAACAAAAAAATCAGAACTAATTTTTTTTTAGTTGAAAGGATTTATAGTCAAAGGAATGACACAAGCCTTCCTTTAAATACCATTTTTTACAGTAAAAGATTCATTTGAAGATTCTATTATTTATTT